GGGCAAGAGTAAAGATTATTTCATTATCATCTCTATTTGGTTTGCAATCAGGGATGAGATATGTACACCTAAGATAAGCAGCATGAAGCATTGGTTTGTATGCATATTGAAATAAAGATCATTTCTACAGCTTCCTTTGTTTTCCATCTCTGATTGCTGATGAAACCACTCCCAGCATGCTGCCAACTGATGTGTGAGATGTTTAACCGTTGCAGTGATATGTAACTGCGACCTAGAAGCTGATATTGGAATAGTGACATCAGGAAGTGAAACTAATACTTGTCATTTATTTTGTGCATATTTCTAGGTGAAAAATATCTTAACACAGTTGGATATGATCCATATACAGGACAAACAAGCAGATAAAATAAGCAGTGGACAAAAAAGGAGCTTATCTCTTGGTATTGCCATGTTGGGAAATCCACAGGTAAAAATGAAGAATTCAAGTGCAACTAAGGGATGTGTGCGTGTGTGCATGCGTGCATGCATGTTTATTTATATAAAGGCATGGCATTCAGAAGATTTATGTATGTACTAACTGAGTGTTCCTATGACTACAGTAACATTGCTCAAAGGGGTAAAAATTAGGCACAGGGGTGACGCATAGGGGGTGCACGTGGATACACATGTACCCCCTGAGCGTGGCGGTGCACCCCCTACAAAAAGGCGCCGCCTGCAAATGGTCGCTGACCTCTGGTCGGTGCTCGCAACCCTTCCACCCCTGCCGCCAACAGCGCCGGTGGCATCTGCAGGAGCTCCGCACTTATGGCTGCCGCACTCCTGCTGCTGCCAGCGCAGCCTGGCCCCCCACAGCTGCCAGGGGCATGTGTCATTCATGATTAGGCGTATACGTCTTTGTGGGATCAAATCCTGTGTATGTATGACAAGTTTTTACATGTCTTCCACTCAATATCTTGAGTTCAGGAAAAATAGCTGAAAATGTCTAATTTTTTTTCCCCCAAAATATGGACTACATTCAAGTTTAGGAAGCAAAGAATATGGAAGCAAAAGCAATAACCTGTTTAATGCATACAAGTTATCTCCAGGACAAAAAATATTAGGCAAATAGATAGAAATGCTGATAAGCCTTATTTGATAAGACTTAGCTATCAAAATACCCTAAAAAGAAAGTTCAGAGGCCGAAACTATGTAAATATCTGTACATAAACCAAGAACTCATCATTCCAATTGTATCCATTTGCTCTATCAACAAACATAAAAATCATGAATTTGGCTTCGAGGCATGGACCTTCGTACACAGCAACCCACTTTGTCAGATGTTTTACAATTATAAGACTTGGCAGCACTGCACATGTCTGCTTTGATTCCTCGTTGCAGGTTCTGCTGTTAGATGAGCCAACTGCTGGGATGGATCCCTCTTCCAGGTATCAGGTGTGGAACCTGCTGAAAGACGGTAAAGCTGCTCGAGTGACTCTGTTCAGTACACAGTTTATGGATGAGGCCGATATCCTGGCAGGTGAGCACTGCCTTTCTCACTGTGGTAGAGTAAGAGCTTAAAAGCAGTGTTTTTCTGCTGAATTGAGCTGAGTGCATTGGGTTCTTATTTGGAATTAGAGTTTTACAATGACGTTTTGGCCCCATTGAATCAAGGGCAGATTTGCCAGCGACTTCAACAAAGCTTGGATTTCACTGTCACCGCTTTCGATAAATGCTGTGGCTCAGTAAGGACTGCAAATTCAACCCTCTGAACTAAACACAAATCTTGCTGAACGTCATTGAGGCAATTCAGAGCTTTCATTCTCATTTACCAAAGAGTGAGGCTGCTCTGTGTCCAAGACCACCATAAATTGGTGCTGTTTAATTATGTGAAACAATGTCTGTCTGAAACTTGGTATTTTTCCTGGTGTGTATGCCTTTTTCAACTAAGAGAATTTTAAGTCAGTTGTATCAGACCACATCAGCTTGGATATGTAGGTATAATTCTAAAAAATCATGTACTACAAATGGGGTTGTCTTCCATTTTCTTCAGGTACACCCTGCATCCATCTCTCCTAATTCGTCTTTCAAACCTACTTCTACATTTAATCTTTCCTAAACTATTTACTTCACCTAAAATCTTGGCCTGCCAACCCTCCTCTGAACTGTTGTCCTATGATGTGTAACAAATCATTTGATAAGCATTCTACATAGGCTGACTTGACACTCTTCTTCAGACTCTCAGTTTTATTCCTGGCCTGATTAAAAAAATGCCTTTTAACGAGTGAACTCTGAAGCATAAATTCTTGTGTATTTCTTCCTCTTTAGACCGCAAGGCATTTATCTCGCATGGGAAGCTAAAATGTGTTGGTTCATCTCTGTTTTTGAAGAAAAAATGGGGGATCGGTTATCACTTAAGGTATTATTATTATTGTTACTGCAGATGCTTATCACGTTCAATTTAGATCTCAGTGACAACTGAAGAATTACTTCAGTCCTAGCAGGTAACATCTGAGAATTTACATGTAAAATGCTTCCTAAAATAACTGAATAGAAGTGATGATAAAAAATTCCAAAAATATTTAACAGATACTTAAATCATCTGTCACCTCTTAAAAAATAGAGCTGTTTATTGATTTTTTTTTTTTTTTTTTAAAGATTGCACAAAGTTTTCTATTCCTTTTCTTCACAATCAAATGGAGGTCTTTCAGTGCCCCTCAGGAGAATGAGAGGGAGGTTTCTCTTCCCAGAACAAACACATGGTTCAGACAATGCCTTGGGATCTGAAGAGACTCAAAACTCTGCTCTCTCAGTTAAAATGGTTTGGGACTTAGACTGTTTCAGCAGCTCCGCGATAACGATCCATGTACTTACTCTTCCCCCACAGTAAATGGAAGGAAGCCCCAGGAGGACTTATCCCTGACTGAAAGAAAATTAATAATCGTGGTATATTTTAAAATCATTGTGCATTGTTTTAGTCCATACCCAGAACTTGGCTATCTCACATCACAGAGGAGTACCCTAACTATTCGGTATTGTGAAGTGACGCCTTTTTCTCCTTTTATCCAGAAATTCTACCCTGGACCTGACAAACCTTCACCTAAAATTTTAATTGAGTCCTTCACCAGCTCTATTGAGCACATACAATCTCTGTTTGCCATTATGATAAGCGATGTACTTTTGTAGTTAATTTTTATCCTGGCGTCCTCTGATCTAATACTTAAGATATTCAGATTCCACTTGCAGCCAGTTCTGTTATTCTCTTTATTCTGCTGTAGTCCAAGAACCCCAACAGTGAATGCTGCTAGAAAGTGGACGCTTCTGGCTGTCCGTCTTTAAAGCTGTTTCCTTTTGGTGCCTGATCCTTCCAGTTCTGAGAGCCTCGTGTGAGGTGCTGAGTACTTAGCTCTCTTTCCTAACCACCACCTCTGATGCCTTATCTAATGTATGAGATAGTTGACAACCAATCCTGTCACCCTAACTTATCTACACGGAGACCAATTCTGCACTAACCTTTCACATCAATATGTTTAGCAGGCACCGAGAACAGCTTTGAAGTGCCATACACCCAAATAAGACAGGCTAAGAAATTACTGCCTCAGTAGGTTCATGTATGAATTTTCAGCTCACTTAATCTCTCTGGCCTTAGTACACACAAGAAGGGGTTTGTGCAAGGCAGCTCCTGTTTGAGAGTAGGACATGTAGAAAGTGTAAGGTAGTTAACTCCACCCAGGGAATAGTGTGCAGTAGTGAGTATACTGCAGATTTACTCCCTGACTTCCTGGGTATTCATTTCTCCAAGCAGAAAAGTCCTATTAAAACCAATAAAATAAAACCCTGTTTTTGAAGTTCTGTTAAAATAGCATCTTCAGGAAAAGATATTATTCTTGAATATGGATTGAAAGACCACTGATTTTTTTTTTTCTTTCTTAGTGTTCTACAATATATAGAAAAGTACACTTTACTAATTAAAAGGTTAATCATTTGCTTCCTAAACATCAACAGGATGCATACCAGTGAGCTCTGTCACTCGGAGGAGATGACCTCCTTGGTCAAAGAGTACATCCCTAATGCCACATTCTCAGGACAGAGGGAAAATGAACTGGAATATGTTTTGCCATTAGAAACAGTGGATAAATTTCCAGGTAATTATATTCTTAGGTGTGCGGGAATCAACAGTGCAAAGCATCAGTACATTAGTAAATATATAAAAGAAGTGTGAAGAGAGAAGTTCTGTAAGATTCCTGGACACTTTCAGGAGTTTAGCAGACAGATGAGGGAGCATTGCATCATGAATGCCTTGCAACTTCTTAGTCTGTGTTTAAGACCAGAAGAGGCTCTTTTCTTCCACTTACAATAAGGCACATAAGGTTTCAATTTGGACAGAAATGTTTAAGGGGGGTTTCTGTTTTAAATGTTTAATATGGGTGGTAAGATGAGCAGCTTCCAGCATTCTACTGGAAGTTTACTTTAAATAAAACATTATAAAAAATGAGCTAAAAAGATAAACCTGGAAATTTCTGTTAAAGTGCTGTTTAAGTGGTTGCCCTATGACTAGGAGATGGGGTATAATTTTCATAGTTTCACAGTTGTTAGGGTTGGAAGGGACCTCAGCAGATCATCAAGTCTGACCCCCTGCCCTGGGCAGAAAAGAGCGCTGGGGTCAGATGACCCCAGCCAGGTGCTTAGTTTGTGGCCGTTGTTCCTGGTTATTCAAAGGGGTGCCCTGGTAAACAGAGCATCTCCAATTTGTTGCTGCCCTCCCCACCCCGATGAACTTGTAAATGGCCATAAGATCCCTTCTCAGCCTTCTCTTGTGGAGGCTAAAGAGATCTAGGTCCCTCAGTCTCTCCTTGTAGTGCTTACCTACAGGCTCCTAACCATACGAGTGGCCCTCCTCTGGACCCTCTCGAGGTTATCGACATCCCCCTTGAAGTGCAGCGCCCAGAATTGGACGCAGTACTCTAATTGTGGCCTGACCAATGCCGCATAGAGGGGAAGCATCACCTCTCTGGACCTGCTTGTGATGCACCTGCTAATGCATGGTTGAGTGAGGTTAGCTTTACTGATTACTTTGTCACATTGATGGCTCATATTCATCTTAGAGTCAACTCTGACTCCGAGATCCCTTCTGTTAGAAGATCATCCCCTAGCCTATAGGTGTGTTGGTGATTCCTTCTCCCTAGATGCAGCACTTTACACTTGTCTTTGTTGAACTGCCTTCTATTCTTTTCTGTCCACTTTTCCAGCCTGTCCAGGTCCATCTGAATTCGATCCCTTTCCACTAGTGTGTGTATTTTACCCCATAATTTTGTGTCATCCATGAATTTTGTTCTTTGGGGCACCAATATGTACTGGGAATTACTCTGGATCTAGATTTGTGTTTCTAAAGTAAGGATTTGGCCAAGATGCATTGTTTTCTTATAAGTTCAAAGTATGCATGTTCCTTCCATCATGCAGATCTGTTCTGTGGCCTAGACAGTCACTCTGACCAAGGGATTATCAATTATGGAGTTACCGTGACAAGTCTGGAAGACGTTTTCCTGAAACTGGAGGGAGAAGAGGCAATTGCTGAAGGTAAAATAGTGGGCCTGATCATACCATTTTCAACCATGCCTCAGAGGACTGGCCTGCTGATCATTTTCTCTGGCTCGCTGATCTTTGCTAGCAGGGAGGTCCTTCATGTATTAGGTTTCAGTACATCTGGAGTTCCCAGTCTGCTCCAAGTGACTCTTCTCCCTGTTCTTTACCAGTCGTCAATGGAAGCTAACCACTGTCTCAGGTTTTAGGCTGGAGGTCTTATATGCAACTATTTCAGAAGATACATTAACATAGAAGCCAACTTTTCCCCCTTTTCAATCCTATTCCTTCTTCTGTAATTCAGTTTGTAGCATTCTCCTGAATTTTTTTTTTTAAGTGAGCTCTTCCACGTATGAAACCACCAACTTCTCCCACCGTTCACAGAACGGAAGATTGTAGGAAACAGTTCATGAAATATGTTAGTTTGTTGTTATTTTTCACTGGAGAAGAGCACACTGTGCTTAAAAGTTAGCTGGATCTAATAGCACTAAGAAAATAAAATATATGTTATTCTTCAGGTGTCATTTATTATACCAGGCTTGGAATAATATAAATCTGGCAAGAAGGGAAGAAGATGGGCAGCCTGTAGAGCAGGATATGGGAGGAGTAAATGGGTACAGAAGTGTTCAAAGGAGAAGGATTTTTTGTGTGTTTATTTTCTTGTTGTTTCTGTTATATTCAAGGTTTCCTCAAGAGCACTTCTCAAATGAGGTCTCTTCCATTGCTGAAAGAAGCAGGGATGTTTCATGCTCTGTTTAGCACTGTTTAATGGTTGATACTTTTTTGCACTGACTTCTTGCTAGGGCTTCTGGTTTTACTATCTGTAGAAGGAAAAGTCTTGTCATCGGTTTAACTAGGCACTAGTTCCTTGTTAGGTGATGGCATCCTCGGTGAGGAGCAGGCAGAAGAGGAAAAAGAGCCCTTTTCTGTGGATGGAGTGGAACAAGATCTGTCACTCTCAGACATTCAAAGGACGACTGTAACCGGCATGGCTCTCTGGAGACAGCAAGTCTGTGCCATGGCAAGACTTCGCCTCTTAAGGCTGAAGAAAGCAAGCAAAACCTTCAAGTCCATGTAAGTCCCAAAGTATTTGTGACTTGTTCATGTGAAATCAGTCTGTGAGAGGACATTCCATGTACAGCTCTCCATGTGTACTTTCTCTCATCATTCAGAATGAAGGAATCATACTTGAGCATTTCTTGCAGAGCAGGTATTTGATTGGAGATATTCCTGGCCTTGAAAGCTGACCCTCAGCTGTTTAGGAAAACCTTACCTTGAAGAAAACCAATATGCAACAGTCTCTCTCTGTCTATCTCTAAATAGCTATAGATATTACTTTATTAAGCGGAAATCAAATGAAATGTTTCCCTTTTTGGAAACATTTCATTTGATTTCAGTTCAATACAATTAGATATTTTCTGCTAAACTAATAATATAACCTCCCCCCAGGGCATTTAGGATGTTCCTTCCCCATCAGAGGAGGAGATGAGAGACTGAGCCATGAGAGTTTTTCTCTCTCTCTCTCTCTCTCTCTCTAAGACCTTCCCTGTGCCTCACTGGAAGGTTTTTACCTGCATGGTATCTGCAGAAGGGGGGACCCACATGTTGGAGCTAGAGAAGGGGTAATTTCCCACAACCCTGTCCACCCCACCTCACCCACCCAGGAAGAGGCTTTCAGCTTCCAGGTTTGCCTATGCAGTTGCCTATGATGTGGACCAGTATTAGGTGAGCATCTCATGGCATTGGCTGCCAACAACCGTCTCAGAAAAATGCATCCTAAGGAACTCAAGCACATGATGTTTCACGGGTTAAAGAAAGGCACTTCTCTGGCCCTGGAGACTTTCTTCCTGATAAATTTTAAAGGCCTGTTTTCAGAGCTTCTGAAAACAAAGTTGCGAGGATCATTTTAATTGTAAGTATTAGGTACTCGTGATATTAAGATTGTTATCATGCAACTCCCCTAGCTCTGTCTGTTGGTAAAAATGGGCAAAATACCTGTCTAAACGCACTTAAAACTGTTTGTTGCTTTAGATTACTGCTATATACAGTTCTTCTGTTACCTTTGATTTTGGAATCCCTCCTGATTGGCATCTGGTTTCTTAACAACTCTTGGGAGATGTCTTCTGCTCTATATTTTCGTCCTCTTGGAATGAAGGGTGACAAGGAATACAAGGACTACACAAGTCTTTTGATCCTTAATGAAACAGGTGAATAGAAAACAGAACCATGAGTCTGATGTGCATCTCCAGTGGTGTAACTAAGGCAGGGCCAATGGGGCAACTGCCCAGCTGCTGACTTCTGTGGGTGGTGGGGGAGAAGGAAGTGGCAGCTGCTGTCAACCACATAATCAGAAGTTGCCACTGCCCCTGTGCCCCAGGCACCCAGCTACATCCCTGCTCTTCTTATCTCCTCCCCCCCCCCCCCCCCCCCCCACCCCCCCCGCACGCCTGCTCCTCCCATTCCCTCATCACCGCTGCCCCCAATCCATACGTTTCTTGTCTTTACAAGAAAATTCAACATAAAGGGAGAGGAAGGCAAGAGAATTGGAGCAATGACAGACTCTAAAGGGGATGAGCAGAGGGACAGCATGACTTGAAAGCATTGCAGGATGCTTATATTCCTTTTAAGAATGAATAAGAAGCATCGCTGTGTGTTGTGTTTTTTGAAGGCAGTGTGTGTTTTGGGGCAGTCAAAATTTTCTTGGTCAACATGAAGGCTAGAAAACCAACTTTAGGTGGCTCTTACTGAGGAACAACTTCCAGTGTCATGATTTCTGTTTTCACTTCCCACCCAGGCTCCAGCATTGACGACTTCATCCGCAATTTGGAGAAGCAGAACATAGCATTGGATATAACCAGCAAGGAAAATAAAATGGAGAGGTTAATGCACAATGGAGCCATAAAGGTTTCCGGTGACAACCAGGTAATAATTTCCCTTGATAAATAACCAGTGTGCCAGTGCAGATCCTGAGGAACTTCGTTCAGGGGTGTTTCAGATGAATGGGGGGCCGCATGTCATGGCACAAAAATTGCACCTTTACTCCACTGTGCTGGTAACCCATGCCATGGTTTCCAGCACATTTGAGGGCAACAGGCTCTTCACCGCCCTTGTGCCAGCCCCTTACAAAAGCAGACAGGTTAGGACAGATCTGTACAAGTGCACTGAGGAATGTAGGCTGCGCCAGCAATAGGTGATGAAATGTCCTCTCTGCCTTGAAGCATTGTTGAGATCAAGAGGGTAGATTTTAACTCAAGAGTTGTCAGCTATTTTCAAACTCTAAGAAGAGAGAATTTAGGAGGTTTGAAAAACTGCAAATTCATAGAATCATAGAAGTAGGGTCGGAAGGGACCTTGTAGATCTTCAGGTCCGACCCCCTGTCTGGGCAGGAAGAAAACGGGGCTCAAATGACCCCAGCTAGGTAGGCATCGAGCCGCTTCTTAAAGACCCCCAGGGTAGGAGCCAGCACCACGTCCCTTGGAGGTTGGTTCCAGATCCTAGCCGCCCTAACTGTGAAGTAGTTCCTACGGATGTCTAATCTAAACCCACTGTCCAACAACTTGTGGCCGTTATTCCTTGTTATCCCGGGGGGTGCTAGGGGAAACAAGGTCTCCCCCTAACCCTTCTGGTCCCCCCTAGTGAGTTTATAGACAGTCACCAGGTCCCCCTCAGCCTTCTCTTGTGAAGGCTGAACAGGTTCAGGTCCCGTAGCCTCTCATTGTAGGGTCTGCCCTGCTGCCCCGGATCACTGCCTTTCCCCAAACTCTAATTGACCTTGATATATGCAGTCTATATAACTGATGGCTTCCCCGTCTCAGAGTCTCAACAGTGTCAGCAAAAGCCCTAGTACAGAGACAGTGATGCTGGGAAAATAAAATCTATTGGTAGTGGGGTGCTGGAGAAAGGAATGATCTGAATTCTGTCAGGCCACATCTGTCACAACTAGTGAGAAACTCTGCTGATTGTAGATGGACCCTGAGGGTCATTTTTCTGGAGTGGTACAACAGCTTTCTGGTCCTTGCTCTGAGCATATTGCAAGTATATGATCTAACCCACATGATGTTGAATAATACACTGGTTTTATACTGTGAAAAGAAAAACGAACAAACCCCTTGGAACAATCATCTTGTCTTGCTTTCCTTAAGAGCTACAACTTTACCATTCTGTGCCACTTGGAAGTAATCAACTGCTATCCTGTGCTTATGAACATCATTAGCAATGCGCTGCTGGGAGCTTCAAATTTTACTGGGCGCATTCGAGTCTGGAATAGTCCATTTTTTAATGTAAGTGTCCTAACTTCCCTGTCAGAAATGCTTCAAGTACATATTGTCTTAAAAGAATTAGCTAATGGCTCGATACATATGCAGGTTTTGAATCGGAAGCAGTTTTGTTTTTTATTTTGCAAATATGTATAGGTCCTCATTCATTTTTTGGTGTACGGAGAACCAGCACTATTGGCTTCAGGCAAGCTGGTCCTGCTGGCCTTAGAGATCAAAATGCCCTGCAACCTTTAGCTGCTGAAATGAGTCCCTTTTATCATAGTCTGGGAAGATATCTGCCCTGGAAGTTCATTGGCTCTTCCTCATAAACCCTTGCACCATTTCTCTTCTTGGCAAGTGCCCATGTAACCACTGGCCCTTGTAGGCAGTGAGGGTGACGGCAACACGTAAGGTTGCAGGTACAAACAGAAGGTATGAGAGCTTCTTGCTTTCTTGGAAGTATAGTGAGAAGGGAAGTCTTCCCCTTTCCCCCCTGCAGCACTCAAGAAAGGGTTGGGAATGGAGACAACGTAGACTTAAGCCTCAGCCTGATAAGGGATGTTGGAAATATTGACGTGCCCAAGTTGCAAAAAATTCTAGTTCGCTAATTTAACATAAAATTGTATTTTCTTTTATCATACTTTGGAGGCAAGGGCATCTCTCTCCCGAGAGACTGTGCAATAAGACAGAGCTACGATACTGCACTAGGTGCCTGAGCGGGTGGCTTTTTCCTGGCATAGTTCTGCTGTCCTATAGTAAGAGGATGTGGGGTTTAGTAGGTAGCTCTGAGAAGAAGTTGAGATTTCCCAGCTAGTTGGGAGGAGGACAGTGGCAACTCCAAGAAAAGGGAGCAGAATTGTTTATTTCTCTTCCAAAAATAAAGAAATGCAGTTCTTTTAGTTGGTGCCTGTGGTTGCTGATTGAAGGATTGCACTCGCATGCATCAGCCTGTCAATAAATCGACCCTGAGGGTAACTGCAGCAGTCTTAGCTTATGGTTCTCTTCTGTAATGGTCCAGACCCAGATTCAATCAATATGGTTGTAGTATGACTGTGTTAGAGAGCAGCTGGCCCCCAGGCTGGGATTTTCTAGTGGAATCTCCTGGTGTTCTGCAGATAATTCCCCTCAAATGTATTTGGGATGGCACTTATTGGACTGTCAGGACTAGACTGTACTTCTTCAGTGGTGACATAAATATACAATTTTATTTAAGGGCTCTGGCATTTAGTCACATAACTTAGCATTTCTTATACCAGGATCATATTTTCGACTACATGATCAGCATTCCCTTTGCTAAGGTTTTATGACGTCAGAGCCTCCCTATTGCAGCCAACAATGAATTCCTCGTAGGTAAAAACATCTCCGCCTTGGATGACTTTCCATTTCTGATAAGGCTTTTGGACTGCTCAAACCCAGTACCAACCTCATTGTAGTTATAGTTTTGGTAGACCTAGGCAAAACAGAATTTTACAACGAGATGAGGGTGCCTGACATAGAGGAGACTGCACCTAGGGGGTCCCTTTCTGTCTGATGGTGCTGTGTTTAGGCCTGCAAGAAAAACAGCTTGTGTATATCTAGTATTCTACAGACCCAGCCACACAGAATATCTCAATATCTACAATACTGACATTTTGTTTCAAATGTTTTATCATTTATTTTCCAGATACATGAAGGATTCTGGGACTATTTTGTTAGTTTCTTACTTGCCTATATGCTGCTTTTACTGCCTGGCTTCTTTCCTCAATTTACAATGAATCACATTGAGGATTACAAGGTAAAATCTTTGCATTGTACAAGACTTTATGTAGAAAGAAGAAAATACAGTTTGTAGGCACAGGACTAGACCAGTGGTTCTCAATCCTTTTAGACATAAGGCACTCCTTGAAAAATGTCAGCTCTTTGTTTTCATTCTTTTTTTACTACAGAAAAATAGTATAGCAATTTTTCTGTTGCAAAGAAGTCAAAGATCACAAGGAATTCGCTGTGTTAAAAACAATCTGAAATCTCTACTTTACCTTGCACCTAACAGTGCAAACATTGTGTTGCCCTTGAAAGGATCTCGAGGCACCGGTTTGAGAATCACTGGACTAGGCTGTTTCTGGTGAATACTTTAAGTTAGCTGTAAATATCTTTACAGTAAACTGATGTTGAGAGAGAAGGAAAAAAAGGGATGGCTGAGTGAGGATGTATGAGAAATTCACTGAGGGAGAGTTTCATTTGGTCAGGTGATTTCTGGATGTATCCATTTGGTCTGTAGTCCTTCTAGACACAGGAGGCTCATTCAGTTTTGCATCAAGAATTCCTATCTCTGCATTTGTTTTAATAAACACTTACCAAAGCAGGAAGCCTGGTAACTTCTTAACCCATTTATATCTCAGCTAATGAAAGCTAACGGAAATGAAAATCAGTCTTTCAGAGAGTGTGATATTTCTCAGTGCATGATATTTCAGTTCTTATTCGGACAAATTGCAGAGAGATGGGAAAAGGAAGGGACTAAAACAAGCAAAAAATTAACAGAGAACGAGAAGCAGATACACATGGACAGAGGGAAGGAGCAAGGAGAGGCAATGCAGAGAATGAAAATGAAAAGTACTTTGAATGTAGCAGAATAAGCAGGATAAGCAATATGATAGTTGTGTTATACCCTGAGCTGCTTCTAAGCACCCAGTCAGCAATGGGAGTGACTGTTTAAAAAAAAACCTCCTTAATGCCACTTTTCCTCTTGTCATACATTCCTAGAGAAAAGCTCGGTCTCAGCTGCGTATCTCTGGGCTCTTCCCTTCAGCTTACTGGTGTGGACAGGCACTGGTGGACATTTCCTTGGCCTGGATTCTTGTCATCTCCATATTTGGGATGTATTTTGCAATGAGCAGCGCAAATACTTGGGATGTTTCTCTCGTATTCTCTCTGGTAAATTAGATGATTTTGGTCCCTGAAAAGAATGCATCTTTTTGAAAATTAGAGAAACTCAGAATGTAGGAGCGGGTTTATCTTATCCCCTTCAAAAAGCTGGTAAATCTGCCTGTCACTGGTATATATTTAACGATGGCTGAATCTTTGTCAGATTTGCACTACGTCTTTTTCTCTTCTGTGAGTCTGAGTTTCCCTGCCTGTAAAATGGAGATACTGGCAAAAAATTTTAGCAACATGTACAAAGTACTTTACACTTAAATGGTTGGTCTTTGATCTGTTTTTCTCAAAGCATTTCCGTATGCCATTTTAAACTGAAGTAGGCTCCTATCTGTTAGCTTTTCATTTGTTCACATCAGTGCACTTCTCCCTAATGGCAAGGATTTTTTGATGATATCTTTTACTGGACCAACTGTATAGTTGGGAGAGATATTAGACTGACGTTTGGACACAGTGACTTTCCTCAGGTGTAGGAAAGAAGCAGACACAGCTTGCGTGACATAGCAAATAGAAACATGCACTGTGTCCAACTCCATCTGTAAATGAAAAACAGTCACTTAAAAGAACCCCTAATAAAATTCTTTCTCTTTATAGATCGCATGCTGTATTGGCTATGGAGTTTCTATGGTCCTGTTTCTGTATTTAATTGCCTTCATATTTTGCAAGGGATGCAGCAGTCTATTTTTGTCTTGTGCCCTCATCGCGGTAAGCAAATGTTGACCGTTCTGTGTTGTTTGTAAAACTGTGCTTCATGCTGTGTGTGTGTGGGGGGGGGGGGGGGGGCTGAGATGATGGGATAGAAGTGAAAACACCCTGTGCAGCTTCAGGAAGAAGAAAATGACACTCATTTTATGAAAGTCAGAAAATCTGTTTTTGTTGTCAAGTATGTAAATCCAAATCTAAAAGCAACAGCAGCAACACCAGTCTCCCAAGAGCAAGGACTAGGAGATGGGGTGTTGCCTGAACATGCTTACCTTTTAAGAAGCCTGCAGTTGTATTTGTTCTCCAGTTGTGTTATGCCCCACAAGGAAATGCTAACTTAGCCGTAAAAGTTATTTAAAACATTTTCGGGGGGGATGGTTGTTTTGTATGGTTTGCTTTAGCGTTCTTGCTTTAAATCTTCAAGGGTCTGAGACATTCTGGTTGAATCCTTTCACAGTAATGGTAATATTCATTTGAAAATAAGTGGGGGAAAAACAATTATATTGACTACAAAACAGGATTAAAATTGTTGTAAGTCCAGGTTCCCTGCTTACTGGTTTAAGTAATGATTAAAGTAACCATTAAAACCATTCCACACTCCTGAGCAATTCAAAAAACAGAATCTTATTCTTTTAAATCGCTGTATATTTAAAATGCTGTTTGAATGCTTGGGGCTGGTGCTTTTGATGAACCCTAAATATTGAGGTAAAAAGAGTGGTGCCAGCACTGCCAATGCAGTGGAGTGACAGAAGTGTTCCTTATTTCCTACCAGCGCAACCTCCTCACTCTTATTCTTCAGACACTTCCCATGGTCCCGTGTTGTATAATTAGGTTTTGTAAGGGGTGTCTGCTGGTACAAGTTATAGATTTACACAGTTTTAGATGCAAAGGAGGAAGGTGACTTTCTTTAGCGTAAACAATTTTCTTGCTTTGTTCTAGGTAACTACAGCTGCCTTCACATTCAGCGAAATCCTGAAGTATACTTTTAGTATCCAAATTGCCAACTTCTTCTTCTTTTTCGTTCCTGTGTATCCATTAATAGGCTTTATAATTACTGCTCCCGAGGTAAGTGGCTGTGTTAGATCAGCAAGATACTACATGTATAATTGGCCAAGTATTTTAGGCAGAGAGGGAATGGTTTCCTAGTATTAAATAATTCCAGTAATTGAAAATGATACATTGCAAAGATTTATTATGGTTCTTTGAGTGGGAGGAGTTTCAAAAGTGTCCAGGTGACTGAGGAGCTCAACTCCCTGTAGAAGGCTTTCACATCTTCTCCTCAAAAGAGGTGAGGAGAAGGATCTTGGAATTGCAGAAGCAGAGCAGTCAAAGAGATGTTTCTGCTTTCTGCTCCGGGCTCCCAAAAACCCATTAGTCTGGAAAGGAAAAGTTTGGTGCACGTATTCAGGAGTCTGACTGTCTCCTGAATAATATTTGGACACCAAAATTCAAGTATATGTATTTATTCTTTGACATTTCTGAAATATTTTCTCATTTATCTTCAATTCCCAACACTTGTTCATGCTATACTGAAGAACTACAGGTTTTCCACTCAGTGCATCTTTTCCTCCAACAGATTTTCAGCTCTTATCGATCTGTGGACAATAGCAGGAGTGAACTATTCATATCCATCTTTGCAGTAAGAAACTATTTGGAAATGAGTTTATTTTGTGAAGGGCATATATCCAAGTGTACTGAACATAACTTACATTTGTAGAATATTTCCAGATAGCAAATTCTAGATACTGTGACAAAATCCAGCATATAAAGTGGTGGTATTGTCCAGTGTGGCTTAATGTTGGGTTTAGTCTGTGAATCTAGGGGCTTGTTTGTCACCTATACAGAGACTGCTGAGGTCTACAGTAAAGAGAAAATAGGACAAATAGTCTTCTTTGGCAATCTCATGCTGTTGAAGGATGATTGTCTTCCATGATTGTCTTATCTGTGTGTCCAAGGATGGCTGATGAGGCCTATCCCGGATCAACAGGTTCTACTGCAGCTCAGACGTGTGTTTCCATTTGTGGGGGTGGCGCTGGATTTTTTATTTGCTCCGTGGCACTCTGTTTCTGCCACTCCCACTTTTCCATGTCCTGTTGCTGTCATGAGGTTTCAAAGTACTGAGATCCCTGCAGCAGACTCTTCCTCCATTTGGGGTGGTTCTGAGTGAAAGTTTCCCATGAGTTGATATCAGTGTTGCATTTTGTTAAATTGGCCTTGAGGACATCCCTGAAGTGCTTTTTGTGCTTGGATGAGTTGGGAGAATAAAAATTGCTTTGCAAGTCTGTAATTAGTCAGACATCTGGATGACGTGGCCAGCCCAACAAAGTTGATGCCGGATGATCATTCCCTCAGTATTCACGGTGTTTGCAGGCAAATAGTGCATCAAGCTCCGTAGCACTTAAATGCCAGTGGAATTTGGTTAAGACGCTTCAGATCTTTCACTCTGCTGCCCAGAAATAACACTGCGTGTTTGAAAGAGGAGGGGGAGAACAAAATGAGCCACAGATCACACATGAAGCCCAATCCTTACTCTACACACTTGTCTTTATGAACTGAGAGTGATTTCTCAGTTTTTTGTTAGAATGTGCAGTTTTATGCAATATTTAACAAGTGTGTGGATGTAGCATGCAGTGTTAAATTCTGTAAGGTACAGCAGAGTTTTGTAGGCCTCAGAATTAGTTTGAATTTTAAGATCCTGGGAGCTAGATGTTTATTTCCCTATGCTACACTTTTCACCACCCAGCTTGAACTGTTTCTACCACCATGTTGGCACTAGTGATAGGAAGGAAAGGCATGCTGGGATAGACAAGATATCACTGGCTACTGGCATTTTATCACCATGTTGTCTTGATCTGCTCTGTGCTGGGTTAGATGATGTGAAGGCAATAGCCCTAGTAGCTTACCTACTCAACCCAGAATAATATTCTCAGAATTAATATTGAAATTGGAAAGCTGAACATTTTTCATTGAATTTTCCTTGGATTATTTAAAACAGTGTTGTAAGTGAGATAGATTAGATGAGAAACAGATATGCCAGGAACTGAATTCTTTGTTTCTTTCAGCCTTACATCCACTGTGTGGCTTTCATTTTCCTGCTTCGATATTTGGAAATGAAATATGGAAGAGCAGTTCTGAGAGGGGATCCAGTTTTTAGGTTTGTGAGAACGCATGTGAAAGCAAAATTGTCACAAGTATGTCAACTTTTCACAACATGTAATGCCCTTTCTTTAAAAAGAAGTCATAAAACCGTATCCATATTACGTACAAAAAAACTATATCAAAATACTATGGGAATAGAAACCTTTTATTTGTTACACTCTAGGAGAACACTGTAATCAAAAGATTCAGTTAAAATGAGGCATTAGAAACCAGTAATATAAAAAAAATCGTTTGAATGCTTAAAAATGTTAAAGTTCTAGGGGTAATTGGTACCACCAGCTCCAGAGAATAACTTACTCGTCCTCTGCGAAGTTCCTCATTAGCTCTCAGGGTGGTGGTCTATGATGTGGATTCAAACGGTTTGGCTTCTAACCCAGCCAGTAATCCATCCATTAGTTCCATCTGGTTACCCATGAAGTCACCATACCCTGCTCCAGTTCTAACCCCCCCAGTTGTATTTATTTATTAATACATTTAAAAATACTATTAGTAACTTGGTGTTAAGTTTGCAAAAGCTAAGCATTCAAAAGTTAGGAAAAGAAGCCTGTATGTCTTTCAGGATATATTCTTTGATAACTTGATATAGCTTTATTCTAAAGCAACACTGCTTCATATAGTGCAAAGAATCGGCAGTGAATGAGTCAAAGGAGTAGGGAAAGACCAA